CTGGGTCCAGGTATCTTTCCTGCCCGACCCCGTTCTGCTGCTGGCTCCACCCCTCTTACCAGTCTGGCTGCATGGTTCATTGTTGTCCAACTTCCATATAGTTCAATTTTCTGTGTTTTGGCTGCATTTTTTGTTACTAAAACTTTGTTGTCTTTAAACTTGGTTGTGTGAGAAGGCACAATGTTTCTACCTACGCCTCCATTTTGGCGGAAGTCCGGAACCACTTTGTTAAATTAAACCACAAAGATGCAGTCAGCAAAATGCAACACATGTATAAGACAATTGACCTACTTTATTCATCAAATAAATTAGAAAGGGGAAAAAAGAACAGACAAAAAACAACTCACGGATTAAAGGAGACTCAGGAAATACATCAATTAAAAGCAATATGTGGACCTTATATTTATTCGACTCTACCAAAACCAACTGTACAAAAACAAGCAAAACTCTTTGTGACACAATGGGAAAAATAGCAATACTAATTGGATATTTAATTATATTAAAGAATTATTAGTTTTTAGGTGTGATGATAGTATTGTGGTTATAATAAAACAAGAAAAATGTGTCCCTATCTTTTAGATATACATACATATGTACACTTACAGATAAAAATTGATATTATGTACCAGAATTACTTCAAAATAATCTGGGAAAAAGGTACTGGGAGCTCTGGTATAGGTGAAATAAAAATTTTTAATTAAGTTCATTAATTGGCCACATATTAACTATTAAAACTGGGTAATGGGTACAGAAATCTTTATTATACTCTCTATTTTTATATATGTATTTAAATGCTTATTTTATTTTTATTTATTTTTATATATTTTTTAATTTTTTTTAACTTTTTAAAAAGATTTTACTTATCTTTAGATGGGAAGGGAAGCAAAGAGGGAGAGAAATATCAATGTATCATTGCCTCTCATGCATTCCCTGCTGGGAACTGGCCTGCAACCCAGGCATGTGCCCTGGGAGTCGAACCACGATCCTTTGTTTTGCAGGCCCATGCTCAATCCACTGAGCTACACCAGCTAGGGCTAAATGCTTATTTTAAAGTTTTTGAGAAAAAGTAGAAAGAACTGCCCCCTGCAGTCTGTTAACCTCTGAGGCATTCTTATTTAACATTGACTGAGCCGACCTAGGCACAAGGCACTATTCCAGGTGTTACAGACACAGTACAATACGAGAGACAAGCATTTTTAAATTCCCTACAATGAGGCAACTGACAAATGAAATAGAATTATTACAATAATTGCTAATACAGAGGAAAAATTAATTAGAAGCACCTAATTCCAAAGATTTACTAATAGTATTTGATAAATATGGACATGAACAACATAACAAATAGATTTCTGTTTTGGTCATCATCTCCTATTCTTTTCCTCCTCTGAGCCATAGATTTCCAATACTAACAAAGTAATAGTAAGTCAAATAAAAATACAGAGTGGGTCAAAAGTAGGTTTACAGTTGTTCATATGGAAAATAATGCAATAATTAATAAATAATAAAAAATAAACTCTGTTTTGCATATTCACAACTGCAAACCTACTTTTGCCCCACCTTATATTATCTGCTTGCTTCCTCCTTTCTACACAAACACTGATTTTATATTTTTGGCAATTTTTGGTTTCCTTTTATTAGAAGAGGTTAAAGTCAAAGCATGACTAACATTGAGCCTTTCTCCTTTTAAAACTTTTTACAATATAACAAGAAGCATTTAATTAAAGTAAAAGAAAACTGAGCAAAGTAAAAAATTATTTTTAAAAAAATTGCTTGAGAAGTTTCCATGTAATCACGGATTTCAAGGCCAAAATGACCTTCTATGAAAACAAAGATAATTAAACTACTAAATTTAAAATTGATATATTTTGCTAGTCCAATAAATACTGTCCATTTCCTATATATCAGAAACTATCTTCTTTTAAGACTTAGTTTGATCTCATGTAAAAAATAAAACTATTATATCAGTACCTACTTTTATATATATACATTTATAAACAGTGCATAAGCTTAAATACTTCAAAATAAAATATAGAAATTTGTTGTAGACCGCTCTGTCTAGTCTTAGGAATTGTATCTCTACCTCTTGTAGCTAAGGGTGAGAGACGACCTCTGGAATGACAGCCACAGGAGACAAAGCCTGTCTCTGGTAGCAAATGCTGCCTCAGTTCCTCTCCCTGCCCCCAGAGCTGGTCAGAAGTCAATGACGGGTAAGACCCCAAACAGCGGGGGGCAACCTAAGCCAGACTCGATCACCTGGGAGGCCTTCATGGAAGGACTCAAGGGGCTGCAACAGACAGCAATGGACTCTCGCCCCCTAGCTTTGTCAAAGCCTGAGTAGTCCCCATGTTCTCTGGGAGAAGTGCTTCCTGGCTCTAATCCCCTTAAGCCTGAATACCTGTTGGGGAGAGGTGCAGCTTCTTGCCTGGCCAGAGCGTGCCCTGGGGAAAAATCTGGCACCACAAAGACTTGCTGATAAACCTGTGAAATCTGCTCTGCTAAGAGTGCTCTCATTCATATAAGGATCCAAGAGGAAATGAGTATGTCTCCCAAAGTTTCTACAACTCTCTTCCTGACAGACACTCACTCAGATCTCTTTGTAACGTTATCTACTGTTTGACCCTTGTCGCCCTGTATTTCTGTGTATTACAACCCAATAAAAGGCTTTGGAGAAAGGCGCTCGGGGCCTTTTTCTCCTCAGAGAAACTGGCTGCTGCTGGCCTCTTTCTCCCCAGAGAAACTGGCCACAGCCCACTCCTCCATTCCAAGCAGATCTCATCTTGTCTCGGCCATATGTACTCATTCGCGTGTGTCCGTGGCACGAGGGGGGGGACCTCGAGAGAGAAGTCGCCCCCACAGAAATTCAACTACAGTTGTCCTTTATGGATTAATTTATTTTTTTCAAAGATCTTTCAAACTGTAAAAATACTAAAATTTTGAGGGCTATTTTAGTTAACTCAGACTGGATATGTAACAGTAGAAGAAAATACTTATAAAAGATAAATATCATATAAAGAAATTAACAAATAGTACATGTAAAATGAACCATTCTATTTCACACAAAAGGAGAGGCCAGTCACCAATTTCTGTCATAACAGAGAGGAGCAAGTAATATTAGATAAAGAGAATAAAACATTGTTTAATAGAAATAAAATTTTGATCATATCACCTAGTTTCCATGAAGGCCTGTTATTTTCAAAATCCATGAAAGTAAAAACTAAAATACACAGACCAGTTGTAAACCACTTATAAAGCTCATAGTGGAAGACAGGATTAAATGCAAGGGATCTTGTTAAGGAATAACAATGTCAGATGCTATTCAATGCATCTTAACTGATTTGGGGGACATATTTTGCTGTGTAGTGTCTCTAAAAAACCTGACAGTGAGTTTATAAAAACCTAGTTCAACCTACAATGTTGCATGCTAAATGTTCAAGTAGAAGCAAACAACATAAAGACCTACCCTCTATGCAGAGGTGAGCCAACCCAACATGGCGATGCAGCCCAAGTATCACTACTGCTTTGTCAATGATTGAGTCAGCAATAAGAATCTACTTCTATCTCAGGAGGCAATTTTTGTAAAAAAGAACACCATGTACTGCAACCTTAGAAAACTGACCAGATAAAACTGTGACCAAGAAAGAAAACCAGATGAATGAAGCACTGGAAAAAAGAGATTTGTTAGCATAAGAAGAATGAAGCTCAAATATTTAATACCAGTTTCTTAAAAACAAAAGAACAATAAATCCAAGCATTAAGAGCATGTGGTCCTAGGTCAGACAAGGCCCAGAATTCTGTCCTTTTGATCTCTAGTTCTGTATTCTTTTCATTACACACCACTACCTACTTTTCCAATGATATCTTAATTAAATCATTATTAAAATAACTTGCATTTACTTACGACACTGGACACACACGTCAGATGTGTACATCCTATCAGCTAATAACCCCATTAGAAATTGGGATAAACCCACTACCCAACTTGTTCAAGAGCACACATTTGCCCTCCTAGAAAAGTACATTTCTTTCCAAAGCTCAAACTCTTAGGTAAATGTGTTTTCTTCACAAATACTAAAGCTTCATTTAGCTGTTATTTCCCACGGATTTTGTCCATAGAAACTCCGTCTAGTCCTCTTATTCTGGGCCATAACATCCTGTATGTTCCCATCAAAGACCACAATTTATGAAATCAGCATGTTTTAAGTCCCTTTTCTAAAGTTACCTTTCTTTATCAACTGTTAAGTAACCTAAAAATCACCCTGTTTCTTCAAACTTAACATCCAGACCATAAATACCAATGAATGTTAATTCAGAGCTAAACATATTAAACATACATTAAATTTACTATGTTTTTTAAATTTTCTTCCATGAACATTTGTAATACTTAAAATTTCATTTATATTCTAATACATGTATTTTCCCTCAATCTAGACTCTCATTAAATCAAAATAAGCTTGTCATACAGTAAATTTGTGATACAAATACTTTATATGTAGACATAATACCAGGCCACACAGAATATATACTCTTCTCAAAGTTATGTGAAGTGTTATATGTTTTCTCTATTCTTCTCGATGCACTGTCTTTGAACTGTAGCCAATCCTTAAAATAAACTTGAAGAAATCCAACATAAATTAATTTAATCAAAAACAAACTCAGGGGCATGCCACCAAAGCAGCAATCCCTAATATCATTTGCTCCAAAAGCTACTGCAAAGTAATTTTTAATAGTGCCCATAACAGAATACTGTAATACAATTTTGGTATATTTCAGAATGGTCAGGGTTAGGATAAAAAAATAAAATAAGTAAAAAAAAATTTCTAAGTTTAAATAATGCATGATAGATTGCAAAGATAATTAAATGACAACCAACACCAATTTCAAATAGCACAATTGTTATCTCTTTACTGAATGCCTGTTAGTCATTTTTGTCAAAAATTATCCTGCAGAAGTCATAAAAAAAATAGCAACAGTCTACCTGAAAAATATACTGAGAAACTTACCATCATTTTGGATCTTGCCCTTCACCTCCTCCTTCCAAGATAGGATAGTGTTCAGGGGAACATAGTCCCTTATGTATTCTTTACGCCTTTCCTCTAGGGACATCTTCAGTAAGCGTTCTTGCAAAATAAAAGCAGAATTTCCATTTGTATATAACTTTTAAGATCAGGAATTATTTTATAATTTAAATATTAACCATGTTAAACTACCAAAAAAAATCAATGTGGGCTTGAGAAACACCAAAATGAAATTCTAATGACTCTATATTTGACTATTATACAATACACCTTGAATGTTAAAAGGTCTAAAATTAATACTACATTAATAGGGGAAAAAAAGGAAACTATTTCAACCTCTATTGACAGTCTATACTATGTACTAGGTGATACATTTATATGCTGCAAGTACAAAGATCCTTGACATTGAAAAGTTAACAAGATAAAAGAAGAAATGCATAAGAGGCAAAATAACAGCTTCATAAATAAAACACTAAATCCTAAAACAGGTATGTACAAACGCTAAGAGCACAAGAAAGGCAGCCACCAAAATATTTTCTTAATTCGAAAATGCCATCCACAATAAAAGTGCACTTTTAATTTAATAACACCTTTGTGGAAGTGATATAAACAATACTCTAAATATACACATACATCTTGATTACGCAGTAGAAAGGAGCTCCTACCCTTTGCAACAGCATGGATGGAACTGGAGGGCATTATGCTAAGTGAAATAAGCCAGGCAATAAGGAATAAATACCACATTATCTCACCATTAAGTGGAACCTAATCAACAAAACAAACAAGGAAGCAAAATATAACCAGTGACATTTAAATTAAGAACAATCTGACAGTAACCAGAGCGGAAGTGGGAGGGGATAATGGGGGGGAAGGGTTTTCAGGAATTATAAAGGACACATGGACAAAACTGGGGCAGGGCCAGCCGGTAGAAGCAGGGGAGGGAGGTGGGGGTGGCTGGTGTGGGAGAAGAGTGGTGGAGGGTAAATGCAGACAATTGCACTTGAACAACAATAAATAATTTTAAAAGAAATAAAAAATTAAGTGAGTTTAAAAAATAATAATATTCAATACACAAACTGACACTGGCATCCTCACTTATTCTGTATGTCAGCTGTCACATATCACATACTTTACCAAAGGATGTATTCTCACTCTCCAATTCTACTTCAGCATATTACAAGATGTCATAGTTTCACTGAATGGCTTTAAGGATAGTATCTAGTTTTAGATAACCTAACCCTCAAAAAAGAATCACTTTAAAAGATTCTTTCACAGAAATAAACTTCAGAAAGTATTAATGCAAGCATAAGTAAACAAGAAACAGGGAACCAATCTTTTCTCCAGCTCCTAGAACTGGCTTATCTTCAGCCACATAAATAGACTAAACAATGATAAAAAAAAAGTTATATTTTAGTCAGATGTGATATATTCAAGTCACAATACTACAATACTCAAGAGTCATCACCATATTAAAATTCAGATGCCTACAGGGCATTCAAATTGAACTAAAAAATCTGGAACTTAGGAAAGAGGTCTAGCCTAGAGATTTTGGAAATTACAACCTGAACTTCTGGTCCTATAATAAATTCATAGGGAAGGGTAAGAGAGGAGAGCAAATCTCAAAAAAATGACATTTAGGAAGTAGACAAAAAAAGAGGGAAATAAAGTAAAGTTTAGATGTTACTTGGGGCACAAGGTGAATCGTTCCCAGTGATGTAAAAACTAGCAGAGAAAAGAGTTTTAATATGTAAAAGAGGAGACATACTACCAATTGCTACAGGAAGATCAGGAAGAATAAAAATTAATAGGCCACTGGCTTTATCAACTGGATTACCAAAGGCACTGAAAAGAGAGCAAAGTGGTTAACAAAACTGGGTTTTAATCCCAAATCATGCAAATCTATGTGATCTTTACTTAAACTCTTTATGTCTCAGTTTCCTTTTGAGATAGATTGGTAGATATATTCTAAACTTACAGATTCAGCAACTAAAACAGAGAAGTTCTAAATCTAAGGTTCTACATACACTAAGAAGTACAACTAGGTTCAAATTCATGCAAATGGTGTTCAAAGCTTTTGACCCTAGAGTATACTACCTCAGAGGATTGTTGTGAGAATTAAATGAGATCCCACTGTTAAGTACCTAGAACAGTGCTGAGCAGGATTCAAACAGTGACTATTTTATATTAGTAGCATCACCTTTGTTATTACTAAATGACTATAGAAATATAACTTTTATTAGTGTAACTGAGATCCTGGAGGCTGGCTATGTGAGACTCAGAAAAAGAGAGAACAGCAAACTCCAAGGTGAAGCACTATGGAAGGAAGGCTACTTTAGAAGAGAATAGAGCCATTCTTAGAGGCTGAGGAGAGAAACCTGAAGATGCTCAGAAACTAAACACACCCAAAAGGGAATAAATGATAGCAGAAGCTCTCAAAAAATTCAGGAGATAAGATAAACAGCACAAGTAGAGGGGTTAATCTTAGAAACAAAGTATAAAAATGTTTCCTCTAACATAGAAACAAAGCTGAAAAGACACAGGACATGTGAAGAAACAGACAAATAAGACTATGTAGCTGTTCATGTCATATGACATGTATTTTCTCTATGGACTAAAAGGCAGTATCTAGTGTCTCTCTCTATGGAGCACACCAACGCCTTTCCCCATTCCCTTCTTTCCCCAGGGTGCAAGCACTCCCTCCTTCTCTCCCTCCCTCCCTTCTCTCTCTCTCTCCCTCTCTCTCCCCCTCCCTCCCTTTCTCCTGAGCTCCAAGGGCCCTTCTTTTGCTGTAGCTTGTTTCCTGAGCCCATTTGTCTTACAGCTCACTTCTACCTCTGTAACTGTCTTAATAAACTTTCTCCTATTAAAAAAACTTTTTAAAAGGCAGTAATATCTGTCTAGTAGGAGGACAGGGTCTTGATGAAATAGGAAACTTGAAGAAAATAAAAAATTTGAAATAATCACACAGAGGAGGAAAAGATGACTAGAATTTACCAAAGGACTACTAGTAAAGCTCAGATCACTAAAATGGAATATTGCAATACCACTGATCAGACTGAAATATATGAAGCACCTGTAGTTTTAATAAATGTCAGAAGGTGCCTGTGGGAATGCAACCTGGCCTCTGTCACTCCATTTGCTTAAAAATTTAAGTGTGGACACTTTAAACAAAATAAGATCAGTAAGACAGTAAGATAAAACAATGAGATAATTTAAGTTTCGGTACTTAAAATGATAATATACATTAAGTAGTGTTGAATTATAGCCCAAAATACTGCATCAATAACACCTAGTTAACATGTATGGACTTGAGAACTTAATTACTTTTTTAAACAATAAGACATACTGAGGACTACATACTATGTAGTTTCTGAGGTATTTATCAAAACTTTTCCTTAAAGAATACTTCATCTTTGCAATACTGTATTTTGCCATGTATAATGTGCAACCATAGTTTTTGTGCACATTACACATGGGAATTATTATATCCATGGTATGTATCATTAGGCCCATATAATGTGCATCCCTATTCTTCCCTCAAAAATTTGGGCAAAAAAAGTATGCATTATACAGAGCAAAACACATAAATCCTTTTTTGGTTAACCAAGCACATAAACAGATCTACTCACTAGATGTTATACGGTGCTAAAATGTTTATACAATGCCTTGACATTTCAATGAGGTGGGTAAGCCTTTAGATTTAAATAACATCTGCAAAAATATGATACCATCCTCTACAGTATAATAAAAGGGAAAAGGTGATGTGTCCCATCAGCTTCTTTAATACTAACTACTGTACTGGAAATCCTTAGCTTCTTCTTGATGGTATAATAAATATATATTTAAATATTAACTATTTCAAAAATAGACATCCTGATAAGACACTGAGACATATATTAAAGCCTTGAAGTCTCAATAACTTTTCCGTTTAACTTTAAACCTCAGACAAAAATACGTTAGTTTGGACAAAAAAACATAATTTGTTAAATGCCTTCCTTAACAGTGCATTTGCTTCTTTATTTAGAAAGTATTGATTTTGTTATATTTGCCTCTATTATTAGAAGCAAAAGAAGAACTCAGACATCAAAAATTCTAAAATGCCTGCTTATCACAGGTCAACTGTGTAGATGTTAAATGAAGGAAGCATTATAACATCGTTTCTCAGGAACATCATCTATGATGCTAGAAAAAATAGTTCTTAAGTAATTACTATAAGCTCATGAAAGATTCATGTATTGAAATCAATCTCCATGTCTTTAATTATTTTGCCTTCATTATTATCAATAATTCAAAGCTAACATTTCAAGACCATCAATAAAAATGGGCATAAATGACTTTTCAATGCTTACAAGGTAAATCTTGTTGAAAGTATGTAGTGACTGCTACTCCAAAAACAAAACATATTTCATACTACTTTATATATCAGGCTATTATTCTCAACATTTGTTTTGTGACACCAAAATTTTTAGTTCTATATATGACCATAATCACTAAAACATAATTACATGACATACAATCTAATCTTTCAATATTATAGAAACCGCTTTAATTTATGTTAATCCTCCCAGCAGTTAATTTTTTAAAATCCCATCTCATCCCTTTCCTTGTACATTGCTTGAAGTAGCCCCTATAGAGAGGATTCTTTTTCCACATTAATTCCATTTTTTGTCCACTATTTGCCTAGGTGTTTACAAAGGCCAGGACTTGCTCCTAGTCACCCCTTTATCCTTCTTCTTTAAAAACAGGATACATAGGAGAGGTTTGTCCCACCCTCATTAGACCTCACTCCAAAAATGGGGTTAGTATATCTTAGCAGAAGCAATGCAAGTACTCATTGCTACATTTCTGTAAAAAAAAAAAAAACTAAATAAAAAGGAGTGAAAAAAAGAAAAAAATCTCCAGATGCTCAAGTTTTACCTTAGAATATTATCTAACTATAATGCCAAAGAGAGAAAGGGAGAGAGAGAAGAGAAAAGAAGGCTGGATTGTACACTTCTGTATCTTACAGAAATCAGTGCCACTTTCACTAATTTGGATAAGCCTTGATATGCACAAAATCCAGGGGTGGGTTCATTCACTGAGTGACATCAGTCTCACACTCTTACTCCAAGCAACTTGAAACTATGAATGGAGATGGGATATTGAGAAACACTGCAAAGAGAAAAGCCCATTTAGATTTCTCTGAAGGCAGAGAAATCTTGTCCTCACGGACAAGACGTTTGTTTTTGGCTTCCCATAGAGTTCCAGGTTTCAAGTCACACTGCGGCGCAGAAGTGAGGGACCTATAGATGGGGTAAACACCCGAAGGTGGGGACACTGCAGGCTGACGGAGTGGGGGATCCACAGGGGCGAAGAGTGAAGGAATGAGGGTCGGCGGGGAGCGGAGGCGCAGCAACAGCTGCAGCGGGCGTGTCTGCCGGCGGGCACGTGTGCGCGGAACACGCCAGCCAGGTGGGCGAAAAGTCCCAGCGGGAGTCCCGAGACCCCGCACGACACCAGAGTAAGTTGTCCGGGCCTGGAGACGATTGCGCGGGGGTCCACGCCACAAGCGAGGCTAAAGCAGCCCAGTCTGGAGAGGTGACCGGTCGCGACGAGCGGCTGAGAGGGGCGTGCGCCCACACGTGGGCGAGCTGTAGGTACCCGGGGGAGGCGCGTGCCCGCCGGTGTGAGCGCGCGTGTACGCGTGTGTACACGCGAACACACGAGGGAGGCGGCACCGGTCAGGAGCGCGCGAGGCAGGAGCTCGGGCGGAGGGCTCCGCGGCACGTTCAGCTCTGACCCCCGCCCCAACCCACAACCACCCGCACCCCCGCACCCTAGGACTCGACGGGCCGGTTACCTTTCTCCTCTCTCCACACCTTTTTCTTCTTGTTGCTGGGGTACATGTTGCCGTGGGGGTGGCTGGCTTTAAGGTGCAAGTTCCCCAGGCTCACCGGCAAACAGGGTGGTGTGGAGTGGGAGGGGTGGAAGGGGGCACTCGGGAGGGAATATGTGAAAAAGGCTCCGCGTTCCACGCCGCTCACTGCTCTCCAGTTGCCGCTCTCCTCCCTCAGCCCGCGCTCTGCTTTGGTTCCCACCCGTCTCAGCTCCGCGGACACCCTCACTGAAGCACCTCAGAACCTGTCAACTAGGTCACGCCTCGCGCTAACCTAACACCGGCGCAGGCCCCGCCTTCCAGCCGCTAGCCAGCGCCACCTCCCATTGGCTGCACCGCCCGCCGCTCTCCGCAGTTCAGCCACGGCGCGCCCCGACTTGGTACCCACGGCGCACGCGCAGGCGCAGGCCCGAGCCCGTGGCGGAGGACGTTTGGGAGCTGGAGGGGGCGGAGCCAGGGCGTGGGGGTGCTTGAAATGACCTCGTGACCGGGGCGTAGGATGAGCGGACACCCAAAAGAACGGGACGGAGGCAGACAACTCCCCCGGGCTTCGAGGCCCTGGGTGGTCCTGAGGGCGTGTCATACGGGCCAGGTGCTGCAGGTGACTGAGGTGTGAGCTGGGGAGCCGTGCTTTAGGGAATGTAAGATGAGGAAGTGGGAGATGTGAGTCAACCTGTAATGTCCATGCTGACTCTAGCTTGTTTGCACGGATTTTACCAGATAATATGAAGGTTTTTTTCACGGTGTGCAAATATAACGGAAAGAAATAACGGATTGGGAAATGGTTCAGGATCATATACAATGCCTTCCTGAACCTTGTAGTAGAAATTGCAAATTTCTTTGGGAGTTCAGTGAAGGTAAGAAAGAAAGAAGGTAAATTGGACTACTCAAGTGTTTTAAGAATTGGTAAATAGCCCTGGCTGGTATAGCTCAGTGAATTGAGAGTGCACCTGTGAATCAAGGGGTCAGCGGTTGGATTCCCAGTCAGGGCACATGCCTGGGTTGCAGGCGAGGATCCCCAGTTTGGGGCACAGGAGAGGCAACCATACATTGATGTTTGTCCCACTCTTCTTCTCTTCCCCTCTCTAAAAATAAATAAATAAAATCTTATTTTTAAAGGAATCAGTAAATAGTATGCAACCAAAATGTTGTACCGGAAACAGAAACCTTACATCAAAGCAAATTCAAGTGCTAACCAGAGCCAAATCATTTTATTGTTTTATTCCTCCACCAGTTGTTTCTGGTCAAGGTGCTGGTCCAAAGGCACCAAAGGACTGATTTGATTCTGGGTAATATTAAAATCCAGTTTCAGTAGAGTCCACACCAAGAGTAGATTGATCTAGTATTTAGAGAAAATTTGGTAATGCCCTCTCCAAATTTATTGCACTTTTGAATATCAGTCAATCCACAGAGCTGAGTTGGTGGTTGCATTGAATCCACATTTATTTGACAGTTGGGGTGCTCTGTTGCATGTGCTCTACTTAAGCAAGGTGTGTAAGACCAAATAATCACTTGTAACACTTTTTTTTAATAATAAATGAAAAAAAGAAGAAAGGGCAGGACCCATTAAGAATTGTAAAGAATGAAATGTTTTGAGTAACATGTAGTAAGGTAATAATTTTTATTTTGACATTGTCTATGCTTTGGCTTTTCTTTTAATGCTGAGTACATAAAAATTTATTTGGTTAGGAGAAATAGGTGAAGCTTCAAGAAAGAAGTGACATTTGAGCTAGTAATAAAAATATGCACTCATTTTATTGGCAATGGAAATGAAAAGAGGGCACTAATTCAAGTTACATTACCAAGGTAAAAATCAATAAAAATTGGTAATGGAATAGATTTCAGAAAGATGGTAAGAAAGAAAATAAAGGGTTTCATTGGCTATTTAATGTGGAGAACAATGATAATAATATTAGGCAATACAGGAGTAATTGCAGATTTTTGTGGGAAAGATATCTTCTTACTTAGAAATGCTGAATATAAGGTGACTGCTGGAAAGTACATCATCCTGTAATCTCCCAAAACTGAAACAAGAAGCTGCAGAAGGCCTAAACAGACCAATAATTGAAGCAGTGATCAAAAAATACCTGGCACACAAAAGCCCTGGACCAGATGGCTTCACAGGCGAATGTTACCAAACATTCAAAGATCTAATATCTATCCTTCTCAAACTATTTCAAAAAATTAAAAAAGAGGGAAGACTCCCAAACTCTTCTACAAAGCCAGTATTATCCTAACTAAAAAACCAGGTAAAGACACAAAAAAGAAAGAAAATTACAAGCCAGTCTAGATGCTAAAGTCCTCAACAAAATATTAAAAATCTGGATCCAGAGTACATTAAACAGATTGTACACCCTGATCAAGTAGAATTTATCCCAGGGATTCAAGGGTGGTATAATATTTACAAACCAATTAATGTAATACATCATATAAACCAGGGGTGTCAAACTCATTTTCACTGGGGGCCATATCAACCTTGTGGTTGCCTTCAAAGGGCTGAATGTAATTTTAGGAGTGTATAAATATAACTACTCCTTAAGACTTAAATGAGAAAATGCTGCTACTGGGAAGAAACAAGGTACCGGGCTGGATAAAACAAGATGGAGGGCCAGATTCATCCCATGGCCCTTGTGTTTGCCACCTGTGATATAAACAAAATGAAAGACAAAAATCACATGATTATATCAATAGATGCTGAAAAAGTATTTGATAAAATCCAGCACCCATTTATGATAAAAACACTCAGAAAACTAGGAATAGAGTGAACATACCTCAACATAATAAAGGCCATATACAAGAAACTTTCTGCCAACGTCCTACTCAATTGGCAGAAACTAAAAGTGTTTCCCTTAAGATCAAGAATAAGCCAAGGGTGCCCACTTTCACCCATCTTATTCAACACAGTACTAGAAGTTCTAACCACACCAATCAACAAGAAAAAGAAAAAAAAGGAATTCAAATTTGAAAGGAGGAAATGAAATTGTCATTATTTGTAGATAACATGATAGTGTACATAGAAAACTCTATAGTCTCCACCCAAAAACTACTTAATCTCGTAAGTGAATTTGGCAAAGCAGCAGGATACAAAATCAATATTCAGAAATCAATGACATTCTTGTACTCCAACAATGAATTATCCAAAAGAAAAACTAAGGAAAAAATCCCATTTACTATAGCAACAAGAAAAATAAAGTACCTAGAAAAAAATTTAACCAAGGATGTTAAAGACTGGTACTCAGAAAACTATAGAATACTGAAGAAAGAAATCAAGAAAGATACAAATAAATGGAAGCATATACCGTGTTCATGGATTGTAAGAATCAACATCATTAAAATATCTGTACTACACAGAACAATCTATAGATTCAATACAATCACTATTAAAATACCAATGGCATATTTCACAGATCTAGAGCCAAATGTTCAGCAACTCTGAACATTATTTAAACATTAATAGGTACATGAACAAATTGGACTTATGTACCTTCCTTCACTTTCTAAGAGCATGTCCTATTTCAAGCCTGCCCTTATCTCCTGCCAAGGAAGTAGCACAGTAGATATGGTTTCTTCCTACAGCCTGCTCTCCAGCAGCTGCCTTCATTCTGGATTGCAAGAAACTTCTTGGAAGCTCATTGGCCAATGAGTAAGAAAATGGTTGCTTAGCAACAAAATTCTGACACTCACCCTCAACTGTAAAGAAGAAGCTTCCTAGTTCTGCCTGTGTTACAGTGAGGAGGAGCTGCTTAGAAGATGAAGCTCTTGTCCCTTTTAATAGAGATATTGATAATTCTTGGGGTCACAATTAAAAGTAAGTGTTTCTGTCCTTATTGTTCTATATGAGGTTCTTTTCTCTTTAATATCACTGAGGTTATTTAAATCAGAAGTAACCTCAATATATGCCCAATTAACACCTTTTTTTGATATTTAGTAAGGATAGATAATAATTATACTCTCAGGATAATATTAGGAAAAATACGTGTGTGAGAGAGAGAGAGAAATTGGGAGAACATATTGAACAAATCTACAACAAAGCATTACAGTGATTTCATAGTGTAGGGATATTTGAGACAGTTAAGTTTTATTAAATCGAAACTCAAAAGTCTAGTTCCAGGACTATAAAGGAAAAGTATAGGACTCAAAGAATGCTAATATGTAATAAATTTATATTCTGTTAATTTTTTGGATCTTTTTATAATAGCAGTTCTACTTCCAAAGATTTTATGTTTCCTGGCTAGTTACTATCCTGAAATGGAAATAATTTTTCAATCTTATTTTTTGTGGCCATTTATTGAATTAACTTTTTACCCAGTCCTCAGGTAATTTAATCATTATAGATTCAATTTAAGGAATATTTATTTACATTTAACCCAGGAAAGAAAGTTTGGCATGACATTCAAAAGTTAATTAATGTAACACACCACATTAGAAGAATAAAAGACTACATGACCATCTCAATTAATAAAGAAAAAGCTTTTGACAAAATTCAATATCCCTTTGTTATAAAAACACTCAATAGTCTAGGAATAGAAACTTCCTTAACCTCCTAAAGGATATTGCTGGGGAAAAGCCTCAAAAGGATCAATTCCAAAGAACAGACACATAGCCTTATTCAAATTCATAAGAATTTTAAAAGGAGAAACTTAACATACATGGGCAAAGCATGCTCCCACTGGTGGCCAGCAGGGAAGAATCCACACCCCTCTCAGAACAGGATTCCTTTTTATAAGCAGGTAATAGTAAAACTGAATGGTGGTTAGTCACTAACACCAACAGAAAGATCAATTAATTTCTAAGTTAACAGATAGCATAAGGAAGTTATTACACTCTATACAGTCATTAAACTTCTCCCGGGAGGCATGATATTTATCATTGAATGGCATTCCAGTTTTCTAGCCAGCCAAGCCTGTGGCTACAGGGAGTTAAACAGTCACAGAGAGTTAAACAGAGAGTTCAGCATTTCCCAGACACCTTAGCTGCTGGAGCCATATTGCATCTTTGAGCTCCCATACAGGCATCCTCAAAAAAAACAAACACTTAATATGTGTAAAGGTGAGAGACTAAATGCTTCTCCTGTAAATTCAGGAATGAAACACAGATACCTACTCTTGCCATTTCTATTCAACATTGTCCTGGGGGTTCTAGCCCAGGATATTAGATAAGAAAAAGAAGTAAAAGACACCAATAGTGGAAAGAAAGAAGTAAAACTATCTCTATTCATTAGTGATAATGATTGTAAACACAC